TAAGATTTATTATTGTAAAGTTTCATTAATATTCATTCAGTAGTATTTGCGTGAAAAAGTAACAAACATCCATCCATACATACAAACTTTCGCGTTTATAATATTAGTAAGGATTTCATTAAAATACCCTGTAGAATGAAGCATTGAATGTATCAATTTCTAAAAGTTCAAATTCAACTATATGACAAGCTATTGTCTCTATCTACCCACGTGAAGATAGGGTGTGTAATTAATGTCATACATTTAAATCGAAAACAATTTTTTTACTTTAATTTAAAGTTAGTGTCCGAGCCGTGATAACTCAGTGTCCGGGTGCCTGCATTAAATTCAATATACTTGAGCAACCTGAGTTCGAATCCTTGTCCCACCATCAATGAAATTGTTAATTTAAGATGCTGACTTATTACATGCTCAGCGGTAAAGGAAACATCGTGAGGAATGCATATTGTGGAAATGATTATAAAAAATATTTCGAAGATATGTGAAGTCCGTCAACCCGCAGTGGGGTCGCACGGTGGATTATGCTCTAATAACATGTGAACAAAGGAGGCCTTTTCCCAGTAGTGGGAATTATATAGGCTGTTACTTTTACTGAATGTTGTATTAATAATATTTTGATATGTTCAAATGAATATTACATATTATAATTGAAAATGTATAACATAAGTGAATATTACGTACGTATGATATATTCTGTTAGAAAGTGTGTCTTTGAAGTATCAAAATAAAATCCATATCAATTCGCCGATCATTAAGAATCTTAAAGTTATAGAAAAGCTTAGATCAAAGAACTGAATTGAACTAGAGATTATTTTTGTTACTCATAGACAAATGTATATATCTCCTAATGTATAATATTACTTATAGAAATACAATGACTAAATAAATGATACAACGCTCTACCTTTAGCAAAATATAAAATATTAAGTAGTGTTCTTTAATATTTTTCAATAACACCGCGGTGGAATAACATTATTATTTATGATTTTATATTGACATTAGTTAGTGATCTATCACAGCCTTCTTTATGTCCTAAACAAATCGAATACGTTACCAAAAAAATTACAATTTCAAGGAAAATGTTTTTTTTTTATTTATGTGAAAAGTTGCCAAGTTAGCAGACGGTTCACCCGATGTTATGTGAATACCGCCGCCCAAGAACATCTGCTACACCCGACGGTTCCAGATGCGTTGACAACCTTTTGAAAATTGGGCTCCGGCCACCTCACTCATCAGACGAAACGCGAAAGTATTATACTTTCACTTTACGCCGGTCTTCTGTGAGGTCGTGGTACCCGGACTAGCCTGCCCATTCATGCAACAGCCGAGGTCACTGCGTGGTAAGCGTTCAGAGTCTTAGTAACATGTGCCACCGGTTTTATTACCAAAAAAAAAAATAAAACCTAAATGATCATCTATTAATATTTTTTTGGATTTAAATAATTCGTTATTCTCCTTTATATCATTTAAATCAAGGGCTGGGTTTTTTCTACTATACTTTTAGTGACGATGCTTTGAGTGGTAAACTTAATGTCTCATGCATCCTATTCCTGAAAACCTTAAAAGCTATGAATACGTACATAGTTAAAGAAATTAAAAAAAATATCTACTGGAAAACTTTTGGAACATGTGTTGTGATTTGTAACACAATACTGCACTGTATTCCTGCATTAAGCTCCATTCAGTCACTACGCTTTCCTATCATCCGCAGTTGCCTATTGTCCAACTTCTAACTTGCCCCAAGACTTTACAATATCCCATTGTTGGGAATTTGCTCGCGTTTGCTTTTAGCCGCCACTATCTTTGAAACTTGCGAATCGTGTCTGAAATACTCATTTTTCAAAATTTGAGAGTTATTTTCCAACGTATATTTTTGTCTTTACAATTTTTTTAAAACATTACCCTTACTTTAGGATAACATTATCCTGTGTTGATAATTACCTTCACATTATACTATTAATTTTAATAAACAAAACTATTAATATTATCACACGTAAGCTTTCACAGAGATAAAGATGGTTTAATGTTTAAAAGGTGCTAAGCCAGTCACCAAGCACGAATTATATAGATATTTGTACATCAGAATACAAACAATAGCAGATAAAAACCAATCCACTGACGTGGATTTCGGCTCACAGATATTAGGCCACTATCAATATTTATATATTATACTACTGTAATATATATAAGCCAAGTAATGTACCCCAAGGAATCACTTATTACTTTTGTATGATATTACCAAGCGAAAATCAACTTCACCTGATTTGCATGGTTTGATACCCATGGGCATGTACTCTCGGGGCTTGCTGGTGCGGTGACAATCTAAAAAAATGGGCCCCAGTTACCTAACTCACCAGACGAAATGCGAAAGTATAATACTTGCACTTTACGTAGTATTTCTCTGAGGCCGTGGTTGGCCAACAGCAGAAGCTGTTGCCAATAGTCTGGTTCATCCGCATGGCCCTACTACAACACCTACCTTGAAAAAATACTATTATTGTTTACTTTTAAAAGCAAATATATATTAAATATTTTTTTTTTGTAATAATAGTAGAACGGGCCAACAAACACTTTTGGACCCATTTATTTTTACGGGCATTCAGTTATTTATATACAGTATTCAGCATCATCATTAACACACGCCTCCGCCGCAGACTGCCATGAAGCACGATCCTGAGCCACCTTCATCCATTGACTCCCCGAACATGTGTCCTATGCCACGATTGCCAATACGAGGCTGCAACTAGATAGCGATCTGGAAGTAAGGTCAACGACCTTTCTGCCCCTTCGGTTATCGCTTACGTGCGCTTTATGTGTTTTAAGTAACTTGTAGTGGCAATAGATCGACTATTGCCACTACAGCTTACTAATTTTCTGAGCTATGTCGATTACACTTATACTGTAATTTGTAACAAATAATTTTCTCTAGTGCGGCAAAGTAAGAATCAAAAGTCCCCAACAAGCCTGATGACTATACTTCTGATAGTAATTGCATGATGGTATGCGCATGTGGTATAGGAAATTTAAAAAGCCGTAGAAATTCCTATGACGCCGCAAGAGCCCAAAAATAATTACAAAAACGCAGTCATAGAAAGGATACTGCATATATAAAATAAAACTAAAAGCAATTACAAACAAAACTAAATAACGAGAGAATATTTTCCTTTTCATTCTGTAGTATAGTAATTACGATGCCCCATTATCGTCTTCCACTAACACACTTTGGGACAATTGCTGTAATAAGCAATAGACGAAATTTTTATAAGGAATTTTCAGGTCTCCGTTCTTAATTTAATAACTATAATTTTTGTCAATTACTTTTATTTTCATTTTTATTTTCGACCATGTTAGTACAAAATTAAGCTACGAATATTATTAATATTATACTACCTATAATATAACTACTTAGCCCTGTGGATGACGGATTGGTTACAATTTGAAATGCCCTATTACCACACGCCATGAAGTATCTTATTTGTGAAAAAAACTGTATATACAATAATTTTGTTTGTAAATAAAATTAACTTAAAATTACAAATATTTTTTTATTAACCGAATCCTGCATTTTTAGCCAATTTGAATATAAATATCTCGTTTATGTGTGATTTATTTTTCAACTTTTCTAGCTAGAAAGATATTCCTTTAAATTTTAAATGTATTTTATATGGTGAAAGAAGGCTAACGGAATAGGCTTTTTACCTGATGGTTTAACATTACCGCCGTCCATGAACTCTCTCTCTCTCTTTAGAAACTCTTTAGAACCTTAGCGAATACTACTAATTATGTAAACATTAGTGATTTTGAAAAAAATCGCATTATGCATCTACCTCATCCATAACATATTGGTTATGGTATTTTTTTATGACAAGTTTGAAACGAGCAGGCGGATTTTTTGATTTCCGGCAAACATGGACATCACTACATCGAAACACTTAATATAAGTTGATAATAAATGTTTTTGCAGAGTAAAAGTAAGCCCCGGATAAGCCACTCACGAGACGCGAAAGAATAATACTATACCACTTCACGGCAGTCGTCTGTCACGTCGGTACTTCCCCGGATAAGCTTGCCCATTCAACATTCGAAGATGCTGGGTAGTCCTACCACAGAATAAAATATTGAATTTAAAAGAATGAAACAGAAAAGTTTTAAACTTTATTTAAATAGTGTACAATTTTTGTCGTCCAGTACGCACACTCCAATCAATTGGTCCTTCTAGCATTCTCACGTATCCACAACATTCACTTACAATCAATATACATTTCATTGTAATAACGCTAATATTTACATTTTTACAATCGATGATTATTTATAATATATTTGAAAATTTTTAACATGTAAAAAAGCGGTTTCCACTAATGAAGTAAAATAATTATGCCATTTTATAATCTGCATTTGTATATGCGAATTGATAGAAAATCTGAAATTTTATTTACAACCTTAATGTGTATTATAATTTTTTATTATCATAACGACGTACAGTGAAATAACATGTCATTTATTGATATAAACCTTTTTAAGTTTTAGGAATATCGTGCCGTCACTAATATTGGACTTGCTTATTTCAAAGGTAGATCACAAAATTTTAAAAGTTTCTGCTATTTCAAAGAATAATCCAATACAATCCTTTCCACCGAAACAGTTTAAATCATCAATCTAGTACAAGCATTAAATGGAAGTTACTAATAGTTTATCAACGCAATTCATATATTCTTGCAAGCACCAATGTGGGAATCGTAACATGGAAATGTTATATCTAGATTATTTAATGTATGTTGTATGTTACTTAGTCATTGTAGTTTCAGTATATAGCGTTAATTTATTTTAGTAACGTAACAGATATGAAATAATATAAATTAATCTTAAATTAACATAATTATTTATTGTTTAGCCCCTCCTTCGTATCTTTCTACTATATTTCTAATTCAATATTGCATTTCGTTTCAAATTACTAAACGTTTGACATAAATTATCATATTATGAAAAGAGAAGTAGTTCTACACCTGCGTGGCGTTTTCTATTGTGTTGAGAAATGGTTCTTTAATCTCCCCGGAATGTCTCTTTCTTAGCTGAGCCGGTTGATTTGGAACAGTTTTCGTTCTACCTAGGGTACCACTGACTACATTTACGCTATACGTCGTGCGCTGATCTTTGATAGGGTTCTTGAGAAAGCTATCATTCTCAGCCACCGTAACCTTCAGCGGTCTGTGCTGTGAAGTTTTTCTTCCTTGCGCGGTATTCATCGACATTGCTTGTAAGGTCAGCAACTGATTGTGTATATTCGGAGAACTTAGGCTATTCCTAGGGATCGTTGCGTGGGGAGTTCCTGGAGCCGGTGAAGGGGCTGGTTCAGTATCCTCTACATCGTCTTGCAGGTAATATTTCGCAATAGGACCAAGGTCCATTTCACTCTTGTTCAGACTGTAGTAGTTTCCCCCGTTACCAAACAGTTTCATGTTAAAGCTATCGTAGTATGGTATGACACCATTGAGATTCGAAAATACTTGCGGACGAATACTTTCGGGGTAGCTCACTCTAGGCCTTCTCGGTAGGGTTACGTATCCTTTTGGGTTGACGAGCGGCGTTGTTCCGTGATGCGTGTTAGGACTGTGAAACCTATGATATACCATTGGGCTTATGTCGGTATCGGAACTAGGTGATTTTATCGGGCTTCCTATATGCTTTTGATTCATTTGTGGCTTCTCGTGTACAGACGAAATCCCGCTAGGCGATACTTGAGTATTATTTCTAAGAGGAAAAGTCAGAAGGTCCGGAGGATAGGCTTGATGTTCTTGCGGTGGTCGATCCAGTAAAATCTCCCTAGACATCTTCGACATCTCTACTTCTTGACGTCGTTTCATATTTTGTTCAAAGGACGCTGTAAACCAAATAAATTTATTGAAAACTTTGAAATTATTATTTTTTTTTTTCAATCTACTTTTTTTATTACATCCAATATTTGAAAAGTTGAATTAAAATTGAAGTTTAATTGAGTTCTGTCTTTTTTTTTTTGTATCAATTAATTAAAATAATGAAATAATTCAAATTATAAGAAAAACAAAATATAAAAATTAATATATTGTTTAAAATAAACATTATTATTGACAAAGGTAGCCGTTATGAAAAATTGTTGATTCACATTAATTTACTTTACTATAAAATTTAGTGTTTGGCAAAATAAAAATAAAGAACTATAATAAACTATATGGTTATCTAATGTATTATACGACATCAAATAATTCTTACCTAACACGGACTCATTCTCCAGTAAAGTCTTGTTGAGTTCCGACATCTCGGTTGTTTCGCTGGTGAGCGACATAGGAGTTTCATATTTTCTAGGGGGTTTAGTTATCGGATTCACTTCAGTCTTTATTCCTTTCTCCGTTTCGGAGGCTACTGATCCTTCGATAAGAGCTTCTCCATTTGACGATCGAGTGTCCGTTTTGATCAATCTTTTCATTTCGACGTTTTGTGACTTAAAAAAGCATGCTGCTAGTACAGCACCGAATATGATTACGATAGCTGTCAAGCAACCGACAAGAATAGCAAAGGAGTCCGTATCCATCCCAGCTATGGTACCCGAACCTGAGAACTTAGATAGAACAAGAAATATTGTTTTCTCATCTTTTCCACCAGGATTTTCGGCGACGCACGTGTAGTTTCCTTTATCACTGTAACGCGCATGTATGATTGTCAAGTTGACCCATCGAATCAGGTCCATTGTGTTTTCTGCCGTAGAATACCGTATTTCCCCAAAAGATCTTATTTCTAAAAGTTTCCCGTTAAAGCGCCAACTGACGTCTGGCGGAGGATTCCCCACAACTTTGCAAGTCAGAGTAACGTTATCGTCGTAACTTTTGATTGTAGAGTCAGGCAGAGGCTCGAGAATCGTAGGCCGACAGGCAAAGTTTGATGAATCTAATTCGTTCCAAAGTTTGTCCCGTATCGAAGTCGGCTCCGCGCAGGAAGTTGGAGGAGTGTACAAGTTGTGGCCAATTACCCAGTCTCGGAATGACTGGAGGTTGCAGTCACATCGCCAGGGATTGTTGTGAAGGTCCAAGCCGGATAAGTTTCTCAATGCACTCAACGTTTCCGGCTTCATATGGTTCAAAAGATTGCCATCAAAACGTAGAATCTTAAGCTGCGGCAAGTTTGTAAATGCTTTGGTACCAATTCTAACTATCCTGTTATTGCTCATTTCCACTTTCTGTAGGAACTTCAAATTGCGGAATGTTCCGTCCTCTAGTTTATCTATAAAGTTGTTGTTCAAATTTATCAACCTTAGTTTCTCAGTTCCCTTAAATGTGTCGGGATGCAGGTATCGTATTAAGTTTTTGGACAAATCTAATTCTATCATAATCGCTAGCGTGACAAATGCTCCCTTATGCACCGCTTCTATACTGCACTCTCTTAGGAATAATTTCTTTAAATTACTAAGGCCAACCCTCTTAAAGGCTTCTTGGTGTAACTGTTGCAAAGGATTATTTGAGAGGTCTAGGATTTGGATGTCATTACTAAGATTAGCAGGTATGATCCTCAAACTTGAGTTTGAGCAAATAGCGGCTTTGTTCCCAGACTGCCATCTACAGTCACAGGGCCTTTGACATTCTGTCGTGAAATCAGCTGTTGTTGTCAATAGAAGCACGATCGACACAATGGCAATTTTCATCCATGTTTTCCAACATTTGTTAGCCATTTTGCTATGATGTTGGTCATTTCTTCGTCACAGGGCATTCCTGTTTGCTACTCTTGGCTTGATACATAGGTAATCTGAAACAAAATACCAATAGAAATTTATTTCTCCATTTATTGATTAATTATCGATAACTTAAACCAAAAATATAATATGAGAATTTGTTTTTTAAACTTTTTGATATAAGATAAATGTGAATAGAAAAGTTGCTTAAGTCACGTTTAGAAATTCAATATTTAAAATCAAGTTTTATTCAATCAAGACTTGATTATTCACATTCTTTGTGACGAATCTAAATTAAATATTGATCAGTGACTAATAATAACAACAAAAAGTTTAAAACATCACAATGTATCCTTTTGACCTTTATACTTACAAGGTCAATAAATAGTCTTTAATGGTTACAGAACGTTGTCACGCTATTCATAATATATTATTATCATGTCTGACTTTGAACAAAAACTTTTTTGTTACCTAAATTCAGTTAGCTACTTTTATAACGAAGTCAACAGCAATGAAAAGGGACATTTGATCAATTGTTTATCAGGACTATAGATGAGTTTGATAGATACCGTCAAACGATATTTAAAGGTTATTTTCATTTTCTATCGAAAATATATTATTTCTGGCTTATGAAAGTGTTTCATCATCAGGAATTATGTGAATCCAAATTGATTGATTATTTTTCATTATAACTAACAAGCTTCATGAGAAAATGGTACATTTTGATTGTACGAGTAGGTTAAGTAACGTTAACCTGTTTTTGATATTTGGTCAAAAATTTACTTTTCGGAATTCTGGGTTTTAAACTTCGGTTCAAAACAAAAAAATAATTCTAAAATGAGGCTTAATCGTAAAGGTATATATTGTATTTAATAATTTTACTTCTTTGAGCCCCAGTGAAATTGAACACATATAGAGTTCAGCTGCGTTAACTTACATAGGGAGTACCTATGGAGCCTGCGTGTTCCTAACTGTTAAACAAAATTACTTTAATGAGCTCATTAACATGCTCTGGTACACAAACTCGCACGTGTGTTCAGGTTATGCACGTGACCGTACTCTTGTGGATGTGAAATATGTTCAACTATATTTCTATTACTTAATATAGTTGAACATATTTCACAAAAGTTACGATCCCTGCTAAAAGAACGCAGTATCTATTGTCTCACCTTAATCTTTGAGGTCTAACAATTATCTTATTCCAACAGGCCTTCTTCACAGTGTTCGGTAGCTCACGTGTAGAGTGGTCGCACTTCAGTATTCCTGCGGACAAGTTACATTTAGTTGTTATACTTTTACAAGTAACTATTGTTCAAAAACAACTAAAAATCTGCTTTTTGAAGAAAAAGGAGGAAATTACTTTTATTAAAGTTATTTACGATCGTCAAAATCTCTCGAAAAAAAAACTAAACAAAGTAACTTTGTGAAGTTTAATTGTTTTTACGATATTGTAGCAAAGGGCTATTGAGTATTTATCCTTACTAATATTATAAACGAGAAAGTTTGTATGTATCGATGGATGTTTGTTACTTTTTCACGCAAATACTACTGAATGAATTTTAATGAAACTACAATAATATAGCTTATACATCAGAATAACATTTATAGCCTATAATTTATATACATATTTTTATGTATATCTGTCTTTCTGTTTGAATGTTACGCCTTCACTCTATTTTACGCAGACTTAGTCGCGTGCAGCAGCTAGTAAATGATAATTGAAACACCTAATTTATTTTTTGTAGGTATTTGCGTTTAATACCTGACATTTAGATTGTATACTAAGAAATAATTTATTTAGTTTTAACAGATCTCTCGAACGGATAATTTGTAACACTCAATATAACGGTACGCACGCAAGTGACTGAAAAACTTCGTGGTAGTTTGTGGATATATTCAGCAGTGGACTCGAACTGGCTGAGATAATGATAACGACAAAATTATCGAACTAAGCACTTGTATAATTATCAAAAGGACACACATTTTGGAGATTCGAGTCAATGTTACCTTTTTATAATCCATCACAGATAAATGGTTACAACTTCATTGGTCACTGCTCCTATTGAAACCACGCCACCCAATAAATTACTTTTTAAGTTTGAAAACGGATGCACGCAATGAGCGTGGCAAAGATAGGGAGATTATGCATGTTATTCGACTTTAGCGTTGAATTATCTCGACCCCTGACAACTTAGGAACAGCACGAAAGTCTATTTTAGCCGTCATCATATTTTTAATTAAGGTGAGCCACATTTCCAAGCTGTAATTTTGAGCTGAGGCTTTCTACGAAACACAAAAGGGAACCCGAGTAAACCGCTGCTCGAATATTCGGTGCGATAAAACCTTGCTTTACTTTTGAACGTTTATGGAAACATTGAATGTTTGTATAGAGCACCTAAACCGTGGGTGGTAATATTAGTCGTGAATAAGCAAAAATCTTGCTTGCTAAAACACTACAAAAAAGAGTTTTTATCATGATTATTTTATTAATTATTTAAGTAAAAACATAATTAGGTATTATTTAAAATAACACAAAAAGATTACTTAATACGCATGTTCGATTTTATTTAGTGCCAATTTATGTGTTCTCGTTAAAACAAATGTAGCCTTTCATAATTAAAAATATATACATAAATTCTATAGTACCAAATTAAAGCGTTTTTGAAAGTATACTTTCCACTTTTAATTCTAGAGTTAGCAAACAAACAGCAAAAAGTAAAGTAAAGTAACAGCCTATACATGTGCCACTGCTGGGCAAAGGTCTCCTCTATACAGAGGGTATCACGGCATAGTCCACCAGGCGACCCCACTGCGGATTGGTGGACTTCACATATCTTCGAAAACTATTTTTTTTGTTATTATTTCGAAAATATGCTGGTTTCCTCACGATGTTCTCCTTGACCGCGGAGCACGTGATAAGTCAGCACTTAACACCTACACCTTATTGTACTGAATTAATCTCCATGGCGACGACAAAAGAACCTTAAATTCTCCATCCTCCATTTCATTTTCAGAACTGTGAGGCGGAAATCATAAATCATATGCTATATATACTTGTATCAAAAGATATGTCGTCTTTCTTCCGATTGTATTGGATATATGAATGTACATACATTGTGTGTATTGTAATCAGTTAATGAGTACAGTTATTTAAATATTAAACAAGTGGTTTATTACTAAATGAAAGTATTCGGTTTTATTGCGTTTATTTTTAAATTCTACCTTCCGACGTTTTGAACCCTATTTCAGCGTCCATGATCACGGGACAGACTGACTGACGTCTGAATGTCGTAATGTCTGTGCTACCGTCAGTGTTTAAATTATTAATTTTGTGTCGGCTAACTCAGAATGAGCTGATTTTATCTTGTCTAGCAGTAGTGGTTCGTTTGGACCTAGATTTAATTTTATTGATGATAGGATCCCAAGCTTCTGGAATCCTATTATCAACAAAATTAATAATAGGCTTTATAAATTTTATTATAGAACCTATTATTATATTTATATGTATTCTATTAATTTTATTGATAGTTAGAAAATTTAATGTATGTGACTTGCGTAATATTTAATTCTTACTGTTACTGGGTACTTCGTAAGCATTAAATAACGCAAGTAACACGCACTAAATTTTCTAATACGTAGGTAAATGAAGCTTCATCATAAAAACCTAACGTACATCAAAACTCATTTATCAAATCTCCCATTGACAAATTTCCATTAGACGCGCGCCAATTGCTATCGACATTTGAATCCGTTTGAATCGCAATGAAGCAATTAATTCACATGCTACACGAAGCACAAACGTGTCTGTTTGGATTGTCATAAAGTTTAACGTCATGTGATCCAGACAGGAATTTCATATTTGACAACCCAAATTGAACACCACGGTACCCACGGATTGAAAATTGTTATTTTATTTATGTAAGATGGGCAAACGAGCTGGTAGTTACCACAACAACACACGTGTGTTATCCTACAAATGCGTTGCTTGCTATCAATAAAGGGGGCCCCAGTTACCTCCCTCACCAGGCAAAAGAGAAGCATGACTCTTTCAATTCACGCCGGTCTTCTATGATATCGCGGTACTTCTCCGGACAGACCTGCCGATCCAAACAATAGCGAAGACTTACCACCGATGCTGTAATAACAGTGTTATATATATGTATATATATATATATATATATATATATATATATATATATATATATATATATATATACATATATGTCAAATACTAATAAAAGTTATCTAATGTACTTCTAATGTAACCCAGAATGACCTAAAGAAAAATTCGCATTCATATTTTGAGCTACATAAGTGACAAGATTTTATTGTCATCATTCTGTTTATGTTCCTATGTTTACAAAACTCTTTATAGTTCGGCTTACCGAAAGCGATTAAAAACACTACACACAAAAACTGCATGGCATGGGGATCGTGGGCTGGATTAACTATTTGTGCGACCCGGTGGCTTTTTACGGTGGCAGGGCCACGCAGCAGCCTCGGCTGTTGCACGAATGGGCAGACTCGTCCGGATAAGTACCACGACCTCACAGAAGACCAGCGTAAAGTGGAGTATGACAAATAGGGTAGCCGGAGTGAGTGAGGTAGCCGGAGCCCAATTTTCAAAAGGTTGTCAACACATCTGTAACCCTCGGGTGTAACAGATGTCCATGGGCGGCGGTATTCACTTACCATCAGGTGAACCATCAGCTCGTTTGGAAACTTTTCACATAACAAAAAAAAGACCCACAGATAGTTGTTGCGCGTCTGGTTGTTTGTCCACGAGAAATTTATGTTTGTAAAACGTCCTTACAACACAGGATCATGTTATCCTAAAGTAAGGGCAATGTTTTAAAAAAAAGACAGATTATTTACCCGAATATGTGAATTCAAGTTAGTCAGGTTAATAAAACCATGTTTTAATATAGTTATGATTACTGCTTCAACCATACATGATTCCATAAATAGTGATACCTGACATTTTTTTATGCAAACAACAT